CCCGCCCCCGCCCCCGCACCGCCCAGCGCGTGGAACGAGATCGTTACTATTTGTTGGCCAAAGTTCGCCTCAAACCTGAAATTATTTTGATCCATGATGAGAAAATGTATGCAAAGTGTATGAGTGTGTAGGAGTGCGCATGTACTGACTCGGTGGCGATGTTGACGTGCGGCGGCGCGCCCACCGCGTTCTGCACCACCAGGAACAGCTTGGTGGCCAGCTCCAGCACGTGGCAGGTCCGCAGCACCAGGTCGCCGCGCCGCCGCCACGCGCCCTCGCCCTGCGCACACCCCCGCACCCGCACCCGCACCCCCATCTCAGTCACATAGTATACACTCACCGCACAACGCGCACATACTAAATCTATCTAATTATAATATTAATATATACGACACGAGCTTCGACATACAATACAAGCGAACATCACACCTTTTACACTCGTCAATAATTATCTCTTTTGATTTATTTGTAATATAATGTGGGCCCAGCACGAATATTTGTCATCAGTATTGAAATGTGTGCAGCGCTGCAGCTGAATCTCGTACAACTTTCGACATATTTTGTCGACAACGTTACGAAGGCGCGTGTAACAAATATGTATTCGTGCTAGGCCCTTTGATGTATAGTTGTTCTAAAACGTACAGCATTCTGGCTTTTACAAAATTCATCACCTAAATATTTGAAATTGCATTAAAAAAAATGAAATACGTGTTTCAAGCCTTTTCCAAAATGTCATCTAAAGGTTTATTTGTGAAAACTTGTTTGAGCTTTTTAAATTTCAAGTATTAAAAGCTTCGTGAGAGTTGGAGGACTTCAATATTTAAAATTGTAAAGAAGCAGCCTTCGTTCATTCGAGCGAGATTTTACTTCCTAATTAGCGAGGATAATGTGGCTGTTGGTATTGGAGGAGGCAAGAGGGTATTGCGGCACCTGCGGGCCGGTCGGCGGGCTGGGCGGCGCCGGCACCAGCCGACAGAATTGCTGCCACCCGATAAAATAATCACATGTTAATGATACAGCCGCAGACGACAAAAATACAACATCGTGAGTGATGTGCAGCGCCGACATGATGCACTCCCCCACCCCCCTTCACTACGATGGTAGCTTCTCGTTCCATAACAATCTGTCAGCAACCGCTTAGTTTTCGATTTCTTATATATTTTGGCTCCTCATGTTAAGCCTCCGTTTGCGGCCGCACAGTCATTAGTTGCCATATTTGGAATGGACACGGGACAATAAGTTATTTTACAAAATAAAATATTTAACAACAAATAATAACAACTATTATCTAAGCGCGTAAAGTGAAAATAAAGTTATAAATGTTACCCCAAAGAGGCAGCCGGGAGCGTCGAGCGCGTCGCGCGAAGAGCACTGCGAGAGCTCCTCCGTGGAGCTGTCGAGCGCGCCCGCCGCGGGGGTCGCACCCGCCGCGCCCGCCGCCCCGCCGCACTGCGCACACACACACACCCGCTACTGTCGCGCCGCGCACCCACCGCGCCCACCGCGCCCACCACGCCCCCCGCGCCGGGTGCGCACCGCTCGCCCCACTCACCGCGCGCACGTGCACCACCAGCAGGTCGTCCGCGTACGGCGACAGCGAGAGTCGGTACACGCAGTGCGCCGGCACGCGCCGCTTCAGCCGCAGCGAGCGCGCCTCTAGCAGCAGCAGCGCGCCCGTCGACAGCACGGCCAGGCAGCGCGCCACGCGCCCGCTGGAGCGCGCCACCTTGCCCACCACGTCGGCGAACACCACATAGCGGTCCGCGCCCGCCGCCCCCGCGCCGCGCCGCCACGCCGCGGACGCGCGCAGCCGCACGTAGTCGCCCACGAACGGGTGCGCCACGCTGCGCGCGTACGTCGCCTTGCGCTCCTTGAACAGCACGCTCGCCGTCACCTTCTCGCGCATGCGGTTGCGCGCCGTCTGGTCGAACGCCTGCCGGTAGAGGCGGCAGCGCCAGCGGTGGTGCAGCCGGCGCAGCAGCCCGTCCGCGCGGCCCAGCAAGCGCGGCTGCGGGCACGGCGGCCACGCCCCGCACGCCGGGCTGCGGTGCCGAGCCGGCAGCTGCGCCCACAGCCGACACAGGTAGCGCCGCCGCGCCGCCGTGCACCAGGCGCGCCACACAACGCGCGCCGCCGCCTCCCGCCCCGCCTCTCGCCCCGCCCACTGACCGTAATGAACATGCCACTGTAGCCCTTTCTCTAGTCATCGACTTTTCATAGAAATTTCTTAAGAAATATGTGTCCGTTTGTAGTTATTTCTTATAAATCCTTTGTAGCAAAACTTAAAATCAAATATGAACTAAACAGAACCAAATAATGTACGTAATAAAGGGATATTTTAACTTGAAATAGAAAGTTTTAGTACGTATAGGAACAGGACAAGAGAATTTTAAAGTCATACTCACATGAAGTGTAGTTGCGGGCTGAGCGTATTGTGCGCGTGCTCGTCTCCTCTGCGTATTATTCAAATAAAATATTTGTATCGTGTTGTGACACACAAGGAGTAGTGTATTATTATGAATTTATCGTGAACATTGAGATAGAAACCTTGTAGGCGCGCCAGGCGCGAGCGATGGTGCGCTGGGCGCGGGCGCGGCGGCGTGCGGCGTGTCGGCGCCAGGCCCGCTGCGCCGCCGTCACCAACTGCGCCACGCGCGCCGCCCGCAGCGCCTCCAGCTCCCACACCTGCGCACGTCGCACGCGCTCTCACCTCCGTCCGTGCGCAGTGCTCGGCGCAGAGTGCGCAGTGCTCGGCGCAGAGTGCGCAGCGCGCAGACAGCGGCGCATACTCACCGTGCGCGGGCTGCGGATGAAGACGCGCGTGCGGCCGTAGGCGAACTCCGCGCTGGGTATGGGCAGGGCGCGCAGCAGATGGCGCGCGGCGCGCACGGGGTCGGCGGCGCGGCGCGGGGCGGCGGGGTCGGGGGCCAGCGGGGCGTACCGCGCCACGAGCGCACGCGCGCACTGCGACTCGCACCAGCCCGCGCGCCGCAGCGCCGCCATCTCCATTATGCTGCACATGCGCTTGTACTGACGCCTCTCCGATATCACGCGATTATCCACACTACTCGAACTTATTTTCTAACACTGATCTCTACAAATGGACCGGTTGGAAGACGTAGAATATTGAGCCAAAGATAGCGGCGGTGCGGGTCCGTATTAATAAACTATCCCGTGATATCTATCAACGGGCGCTTTTAATGACACATACAATTGTTATATCATCATCATCAGCCCACTATACGTCCCCACCGAGGGGCTCGGAGCCTACGCTAAGTTAAGGGTGGGGTTGTTATATACTCCGTTCCAAATGAAACTTCAAAGAATGTAAAATAACATGTGTCTATGGCAAGAGAAAGAGGCCGTGACATAATTTTAGCAAAGTGGGAATATATCCCATTCTATAAGCCGGTGTATAAAAAGTTTAGTTTCCGCAAAAGGTGCGGCGTCCTCGTGTTGTTGCATGTTGTTGTGTACGTTTGTTGCACTTTCATTTGGAACGGATCCACGATCTGTGCGTTCGGTACGACAGGAAACGAGAGCGCGAGCGAGTGCGGGCGAATCACGTTTTTTAAAATTACCCTTGAGTGCGGATTTGATGTCGCAGTAGAGCGGTGTCGAAACGATGCGGCCGAAGTGCGGCGTCGGCGCGCAGGCACCGCACGAGCCGCGGCGAGGCCGGCAGCCGCCGCACCAGCGCCGCCACCAGCGC